TAAAAGAGCAAGAGTTGCTAAAGAATATGGGGCCGATTATGCGGCCTACAATGTAGAAGAAGATCCAATAAATCTTCAAGAAGCACTGTCATCTATGGATGCAGACTTATGGCAAGAAGCCATTAATGATGAGATAGATTCTCTAGAATCTAACAAGACCTGGCACTTAGTAGACTTACCCCCGGGTTGCAAACCAATTGGTTGCAAATGGATTTTGAAAAAGAAACTAAAACCTGATGGAACGATTGAGAAATACAAGGCTCGCCTTGTAGTCAAGGGTTTTAGACAAAGAGAAAATATAGATTTCTTCGACACCTTTTCTCCGGTCACTAGAATTACATCCATTAGGGTACTCATTTCAATAGCAGCCATTTATAACTTAATAGTACACCAAATGGATGTTAAAACAACTTTTTTAAACGGTGACTTAGAAGAAGAAATCTATATGGAACAACCAGAAGGGTTTGTAATCCAAGGACAAGAAAGCAAGGTCTGTAAGTTAGATAAGTCTCTGTATGGACTAAAACAAGCCCCTAAACAATGGCATGAAAAGTTTGATAACTTAATGATAATTAATGGGTACAAAGTGAATGAAAGTGACAAGTGCGTTTATTACAAATCTGAGAATCGCATTTGTACTATCATATGTCTATATGTAGACGATCTACTTATATTTGGATCGAACGTTCAGGCCATTAATGATATGAAATCATTGTTATGCAATAACTTTGATATGAAAGACCTCAGAGAAGCAAGCGTGATCCTGGGTATCAAGATCACGAGATCCGACCAAGGAATTTCTTTGGATCAATCTCACTATGTGGAGAAGATCTTAACGAAATATAAATACTTTGATTGTAAACCTGCATGCACTCCGTATGATCCAAGTGTGAAACTGTTTAAGAACACTGGAGAAAGTGTCAAACAAGCAGAATATGCGAGCATCATTGGCAGTCTTAGGTATGCCACTGATTGTACTAGACCCGACATTGCATATGTTGTAGGATTGTTGTGCAGATTTACAAGTAGACCGAGTAACGAACATTGGCAAGCTATTGAGCGAGTAATGAGGTACCTTAAAAGGACTATGGACCTCGGCCTACAATATCATAAATTTCCTGTTGTACTAGAAGGGTATAGTGACGCAGATTGGAACACCTTATCGGATGATTCCAAAGCTACTAGTGGTTATACATTTAGTATAGCCGGAGGAGCTGTATCTTGGAAATCAAAGAAATAGACCATTCTGGAACAATCCACAATGAAGTCTGAGATGATAGCATTAGCTACAGCTAGTGAAGAAGCAAGTTGGTTAAGATGTTTGCTAGCTGAGATTTCTTTATGGGAAAAACCTATACCAGCTGTGTTGATCCACTGCGATAGTACCGCGGCTATTGCAAAAGTTGAGAACCGTTATTATAATGGTAAAAGACGTCAAATTAGTAGAAAACATAGCACTGTTAGAGATTGTATCTCTAAAGGAGCTGTGAGAGTGGATCATGTACGCACTGATGAGAACTTAGCAGATCCTTTGACGAAAGGATTAGCTAGAGAGAAAGTCCATAATACTTCCAAAAAGATGGGACTAATGCCTATAAAGAAATTAGTTACTCATGATGGTAACCCGACCTAAATGACTGGAGATCCCAAGACTTAGGTTCAATGGGTAATAACAAGTTGTGAGTAATATGAAAATGATCATGCAAGTAAAGCATGAATCTTGAAGTAATGAGAGGATGAGATAATAGAAACTCTTAATGAGATCTATACTCTGTATGAAGGAATACCTAGGCTACAGGAGTACTCTTGATAGATTCACCTATGTGACTGTGGAACTGAGGCCGGTTCCTATGGAATTTCGAGGCAGAATTCCTAGAGCATTCACTAAACCGGGATACACGTGCAGGGCCACTAAAGCACGGGCTACAAGAATACACCTTACGGAAAGGTTGTGTGCGGGTCTGATGTCCGAGATAGAGTTCAAGACAATGGTGTCACTCTCGTTGAATCAGAATCCTACTCGCTACACTAAGGTTCAAGTCGTAGACACCTTTGCTTATGCTCAATCTTAGAAACGTCTGACGTACTTCTAAAATCTCTTTTAAATTCAAGTGGGGAAATGTTGGAATTATATTAATTAGAGTGGGAATTGGAAATATTTATTAAAAATTAATGGGCAATAAATGAACACAAGTGAGAACTAATATAGAAGTGAATTTGAAAAGATTAATTTTAGTCCCACATTGAAGGGAATGGAAATATTAGTAGTGTTTATATATTCCAACTTGGTCAATTGGGTTGGGCCCTAAAGGGCACCCAATTTTGTGAAAGGAGTGAGGACGCACCCATGATCATCAAGACACGCGCGCGCGCCGCCTCCGCCGTCCGGCCGGCTCGGCTCGGTTCGGTCCGGTCCGGTCTTGATGAATTATTTTTTGGACCCAAATTTATAGAATTTAATTATCATTAATTAATTAATATAATTCGGTGGAAAATTAATTAATAATAAGTATTAATTAATTAAGAAAATAATTGGTCAGTAACTGTCATATTGACTAGATCCAGTAATTCCCGTTCTCCCACGATTTTCTCCATTCACCACGAATTTCTCCCTACTCAGTCTTACTATCTGCCTATAAATATAGGGTAGAAGTTCAGTAGTGAAGCAGCGGATTTCAAAAAGTTCACACGAATTTGATTTCCATCTTCTCTCCCTTAATTCTCTTCGTCTACAAATCCTTTTTTTGTTTTTTTTCTTGTTTTTCGACTGGCTATTTTCGCCAGATACTGTGACTTAGAAAGGTGTATTTCTAGAGCGATTTATCAATTGTACATTGTTTTATCCTGGAGACGTCGTCGTAAATCGACTGCTTTGCATATTTTGGCAGTACGGCGAAACGTCTTAAAGAAAGTGACATAGTACGCGACTCGTCCCGATAATTTCCTTGTGCCAGACTCAATTTTTCAAATCCGAAAACAACAAAAGTTGCGCAAGGTTTGTGTGGGGTATTATTTATTGAAACAAAATTTGGTTTTGACTTTGTCGCTTGGAGTCTTACGTCATGGCTTGGATTTAGCTGGCATTTGAAGAAGTTCTTTTCACTGCGTGGGTGAAGCCTGTGAGGGTCGTAATGTTGTGAAGCTGCAGGGCATGTGTTTTCATGAGCTTGATTCGGTTCCCCATTATTATTATTTTTTTTTCAAATTTTGTTGTGATATGTATTTAATGACATGGGCCTTCCATTTATTTCATGGACTTATTATTTTTTGTGAAGACTTTATTTTTTATTTTGGGCTTTGTAAAAAAAATGTAACATTGGGCTTTGGATTGTAGTGCTCTCTACACCCTCCATAATTTTTGAACAATGCCTTTGATCAATTCTTAAGTTTTGACTAATCATTAAATCAATTCTTGAGAAAAGACTAAAAGATTAATCAAACTTAAAAGGGTCTTGGACTAATGATGCCACATTCAAATCTCTTGAGCCAAAATCTTCACTTTAAAACTTCTTAAACGATACAATGAATCACATGATTATGTTTTGATACCAGAGAATCAGGACTTAAAATATGCACTGCAAGGCCTAAAACCTCAACTGGAGAATGAACTGGTTCCATACAGTTCTCAAACCTGTGATATCCTGAGTTTGGACCTTTGACTAGAAGCAACATAAATTTTTTTAATTTTCTGAATAGTAATTGGTGGGTGGATGTACAGAATGAAAGTTATGCACATGTAGGACAAATTTGGGGTATGACACTTTCACCTAGGTTTTAGGTATCTTCTTCGGCGCTCAAGTTTTAGGGTTTCTTTTGAAAAGAGAGAGTGAAAATAAAAACAAGTGAAGTGAAAATGAAATAATGTAACATCTCAGCTAGCATTCTTTTTAATTTTATAAACTTAAATCAATATGTAATATAATAATTCCATGTCATCTAACAAAAGTCCAACTAAAGTGTCACACACGTGCACAAATTAACGGAAATTCATAAAATTTAACAGAAAGGATCAAAGTGACTAATGAAAATACATTTAAAGAATTTAAAACAAATACATATTAAATAAGAGACAAACTAAAACCTAAGATTAAATATAAAAATTAAATTAAATCAATTTTTTCACCCTTAACTTCCGTACTCATTACATGTATAAGTGGACAACAATTAAATGAGTGCTTTTTTTTTTACCTAAAAGTTACAGCTAACAGGTACTTAGTTAATTGAAACACAGTAATGTTCTCAAATACATGTTTACTGTACAATTGAAATATTGTTCTTTCTAAAAATAACCTATTATACAAGATTACGAAATCAGAAATATTTGTAGGGATAGCTGTAACTCATCCCTAATACACAAGCTATCAAAATCATAATCTAATACACATAAGATACACACTTTTTATTACTAACTCTGTCCCCTATTAAAAGCAACATTTTAACTCACAAAAGAGTTAAAATATAATTCGGGAGAGATGTTTAGTTTGGACCAACATTGGTAATAGTTTAATGAATTAGAGTATATATTTATCTTACTTTCCAAATTTTAAAACTCTAAAATTTCTGCCACAAAACTATAAATAAAGAGGAAAATATTCATCAACTGTGTAACCAAAAATAAAATATTTATCAATTTTTTCACCCTTAACTTCAGTATTCATTATATGTATAAGATGACAACAACTAAATGAGTGCTTTGTTTTACCTTTAAGTTACAGCTAACGGGTACTTAGTTAATTGAAACACAATAATGTTTTCAAATACATTTACTGTACAATATTGTTCTTTCTAAAAATAATCTTCTACTATACAAGATTACAAAATCAGAAATATTTGTAGGGATAGCTGTAACTCATCCCTAATACACAAGCCATCAAAATCATAATATAATACACATAAGATACACACTTTTTATTACTAACTCTGTCCCCTATTAAAAGCACCATTTTAACTCACAAAAGAGTTTATAAAATGAGACTGAGGAAGTACATAGTTAATACATTTCAAGGGAAATCATAAGCTCCAGTAGCATACAGCTCAATCTTTGTACCATCATTCATGAAATTCGTGAGCGTTGAAGTGTATGAAAATCCCTTAACTGCTTTATACTCATTCCACCATTGAATATAGCTGCTTTGTGGCAGAAAAATATCTGGAGACACTGCATAATCTTTGAGCAACTGATAAACATACACCTCAAATTCAAACAATTTCTTTAGTATCTCTTCTTTCTCTTTGACAACCTTCAACTCTCTGCATAAAAGGAGAGCCTCTTCAACATGTGCCCAAAAGCAAGAATCTATAGTCAAAATAGCTTCTACATTCTTTCTACTCGTACTGTTTATATCACTTGTGGCACTTTTTGACTCTTCCATCAACCACTCATCCAACTGTTTGAAGTGCTTGGACCTTTTTTCCTTAACATAGTCTTTACCACCATCTCTATAGTATTCAGCAATAGCTAGCGGTTCAACCATTCTCCTGTAAGTAGTCCCACCATATAGCCAACGGGTACGAAAAGCTGCACCTTCTTTTTGAGGCTTCATTTCAACTTCTTCAACCATCTTTTCCCAGTAAATAGTGAGCTTTCTATGGAACTCAACAACATCCTGGTCAAATGGTGTGTTAATGTTTTTGTAGCTGTCATAGTACCCTATTTGTTGATTCTTAGTTTCCTTTTTGTACCATTCAAGATAGGCCATGTATATCTTAATGTCATTCAATTTCTTGGATGGATCAAATGATATCTTCTTCTGCTGGATGAATTTTTCTTCTAGTTCTTTTAAATTTCTTCCCAGAGCATTGATATCAATGTTCTCTTGCTGCCACACCTATTCAGTATTATATTATTATATGATTCTAGTTTATCAAGAAGAAATAGAAGATATTCACCTACCTGCATATGCGGTGTCAATCCTAATGCCCGCAACTGCAAACTAATACCAGTTGCTAGTGAGTCTGGTTCAGTCGTGTTTTCAACTTGAGTGGAAAAACCGATGGATGTTGCCTTAAGATAGAGATTTTTTACTATATTTCCATAATCAACAGATTCAAGTCCTTGACTTTTATCATGGACTGAGGCCAATGCCGCGAAAATTTCCAAGATAGAATCCGGGTTCTCAAAAGAGGTTGCATCAGAACACATGATAAATGTTCCAAAAGGCATGTAGGAACTGGTTTGATTTGTAATGAAGAGCCTTGGAAGTGGGTCTTTGTGTGATACAACGTGTATGAAGCAAGAATTCCAAATAGAACTACGAGATATGGCTTCGTGCAATCTCCTATCACCAACAAGGGGTGAACCAAAGGTGATGCAGAGTGGACGATTCTTTCCTGAACCAATGCTATGTAATAGCGATATAGTAAAGAGAGAAGCAATTGATCCTCCGAGACCATGTCCAGTAACAATCAGCGATGTCCGTGGATTGGAACTATTAATCTGCATTAAGATTGTTACATAAGAGATTGCAAGGAAAGGCGACATGCCTAGAAAGATGAGTCTAGATACGCAGTACGATACGAGTACGGTAAAATGTAGGGATGCACATGTTTAAATCATCAAGATACAATAAAGGCTATATATGCTATCAGAAATCTCTAAATAAAACCATGTATTACACAATACAGAATATATGTAAAGAGATGTGTGGAAAATAAGAACAGTGGACTCAGAAACTATGCAAATCAAAGGTATGAAGCAGGTGCACAGAATTCAGCAGCAAGAACAACAACAGAAACATAGAAAATCACGAGCAAAAGCTACACAACTCCACAACTAGAAAAACTCGGTAGATTTCCGAAAGAGCTTGGGTGGCAAAATAAGAAAACAGAATTGCATAAATGTGCCAAGCAGAACAATAAAACAAATGCTCTAAATACAACAGAAACTCAGCAACACAAGACACTCAAAGCAAAAAAACAGTAAAAATGGCCCCAACAGTGCGATGATTACAAGCCCTTCGAATTTTTGATGTATCTAGTCTTCATAGCTAATAAAAAGATGGTGTGAACTATTTTTAAAATGAAATTTATCCCACTATTCTCATAAATTTAATTTTGAAAAAAAAACATTTTCCATGACTTCATCTCAAATACCACGCTTAAAACATAAGGCATATAAATATTTTAAATCGTTTCTTGATTCACCCCCACCCTTAAAGTACTCTTCACGAGTGAGATTTTGGAATAAACACCATTGTTAGTCTAAACGTGAATTGTTTAATCATTGGTATACAAATCATGTCAACAAGACGACATGCACTAACCCCATGTTAGTTTACTTCTCAAACTATCAGTCCATTTTGTTTATGCAAGAAGGAACTAGATTTGTCCCTTTCACTTTTGTTTTTGTTTTTCATTTTTAGATGAAACTATAAAGCTAAGGGTAAAAAAATTGCTTGGTTAAACAACTCAACTTAAAGGAATGTTATCAATGGGAAAAACTCAAGGCTAACAGAGAAAAGGCCTGAAAAGAATTTATAAATAGTGACACCTATGAATTAGACAATACAAAAACCTAATATGTATCCGAGTCTATCCAGTTGAACCATCCACTAAATTATCTCCGCGTCAAATCTAATAGTATTGGACATGACAGGCAATGAGCCTGTTTGCATAAACAGCTTATTTGCAGTTCATAACACAAATACTTATCAAAATAAGTGCTTATGAATAAGCTTGCATAGCATAAGCTATTTTTATAACAAAAGATAAAATGAATTTAAATTGATATAAGATGTTTTCATAAGCATTCTTGGAGAACTTAAAAACATAAGCTAAAACATGTTCATGAAAAATATTATAAGCTGTTTTGATAAACTATGTGTCACAAAACATGCTCAATTTGTAAAGGAAAAAACACAAGTCTAAATTGAAAAGAGATAAAGCAAACCCTAATAAATATAGCTAATTAAGCTTTAACAAATCTACATATCAATCTTTAGTTTTTCACAGCCAGATAAAAAGATTTCCTAATTCAATTCAAAAATCAATTACAATAAAAATATTTAAAAAATGGACAAGGATGATATGTACCTGGGATTTCAACTTATCAAGCTCTTGATGATTTTGACGAAAGAGTAAAACTGCAGTTTCATTAAGAGAGAAAATTGGAATACTCCTGGAACACAAAAACTCAAAATCAAGAAAATTGTTTTCCTTAAGTTCAGAAGAAGAAACCAAATCAGCTTTAACATTGGAAGAAGAGTCTACTGTGGCGTTAAACGCTATTATCGTAAAATCTGAACCCGAATCAACCTTCCAAGATAGTCCCACGCCATCATATGAAACAATATCTTCATTATCAATTTCAGATGAGATAGTATTCCATGATTTACAAAGGATGCGGGAACTTGTTACAAAAGATGCAAGCTCGATTCCGCTGCTAAATCTGCAAACAAATATCCACATGTTAGTTTCATTTATGAGATGAATTTTCATGTAAGAACAAAAAAGAACAAATTTTTTCATTTGTTACATACAAGTTAGGGTTTGTCATGGTGATTTCGAATGGAATAGCGTGTGAAGTGGTTAACGAGAAGAAATGGGATTGATTAACAAGTGATGGAAATAGAAGGGTCTTTCTGAGTAATTGGTTGCTGCCGTTGCAAACACTTTTGAAGTCAACAAGTTTGTTATAAAATATTTAGTTTTATTTGAATAAGTTACGCCTTTTTCATTATTACAACTAAATTTGACTTTTTTTATATATATTTTTGGATTAATGATTATTTTTAAATAATTATTATTTAAAAATAATATATCAAAAAAACCAATATTTTATAAAATTTATCAAACTAATTTGATTTCAAACAAAAAAAAATTGCACGTAAAATGAGTATCCACTCAAATTGGCGCATGGATTAATAAAATGTACATACGCGTCATTCTAAGTGACACATGCGTGTATATGATGCCATTACAAGTGGCGTATGCATGAATCATCTATGAGTATATGGCATAGACAATGGCTACTCCTTTATTTAGGGATTTTTTATTTTAATTTTTAATTAAAATTTTGAAATAATAAAGAAAATTAAAAATAACTTATAATATTATTTCATAAAATTCTATTACACAACGATTGAATGAAAAATTAATGACTCGTCAAATCGTAACGTCTTCTGGTTCCATATCCCGACGCATTTGTCTGTCTTCGAGGTCTCTCATGATTTCTCTAAGGTGTTTGGGGTCTTTGAGTATTGGCCTAAGAAAAAGGTAGTTGGTGTGAGGGTTCTGGCGTATTTAACATATTTTCAATCATTTCTCTCTAATAGTCGGAGTGTGCCGCCAAAGGCACTGTCGTAATCGAGCTCGGTGTCAATGTTGTCGTAGTTGGGTCGTTGTGGTTAGATTATGTGTGGACGATATGGTTGGTTGAACTGGGACATTGAATTATTTTGGAAACGAACCAATGGTTCTTGTGGTGTAAGAAAGTAATGTGTGGTTAGGTGCTTTGGCGGTGTGATGTTTGGATGTACATTGGTGGGGGCTAGGGCTGGAAATGAGTCGAGTCGAGTCGAACTCACCTCAGCTCGGCTCGACTCGTTAAGAATTGTTCGAGTTCGAGTTCCACACGAACTTTTTTTTAAGCTCAAACTCGACTCGTTATAAGTTCACGAATAGTTCGGTTCAACTCGTTAGGTTCATCTCATTAGGTTCAACTCACATGATTCACGGACTTAAAAACTATTTTTTTAAATATATATACTTTTTAGTACATTTGACATTTTAAATAAATATTTTTTTTAAAATAAAATATTAAAATAAAATAAAAGTTATCATATTGAAATTTAACTTTATCTTCGAAATCTACTAATTCAAAACCTACACAACTTTCAAGAGATACATTTGAGAGTCTAATTCAAAAACTACTAAATTGAAGATTAAATTTGTCTAAGATTTGGAGTAAATATTTAAACCTAATCTTAAAGACAATATAATTCTTCTCATATGTAATCGAGTTGACTCATGAAACTAACGAGTTGAACTATGTATAGTTCGAGTTCAGCTCATTTAGTTAACGAACTTAATTTTTCGCTCATACTCAACTCATTTGGTTCATGAACCTAGTTCAACGATTTAATTGTCGAATCGAATTCCGAACTATTTTCGAGTTGGTTCGGTTCATTGCCAGCCCTAGTGGAGGGCTATGGTGGGATAGGGTGGAATGTATGAATTATCGGGACTATAGACATATGTGGTGGCAGCATATGGTTCAAAATAGAGTTTAGTGTTACAATCGGGACAGTTGTTCAGTGATACTTCAATGAAATTCATTAAAGAGGAAGCTGACAAAGCTAACACACATGTGATCACAGTGTTTAATCGTCATAAAGGTTGGTCAAGCGTAGACGAGGCAATGGATCACAATGACGGGAGGCCAAGGGAATAATTTCGAGTTGAACTAGATAGAGGTTGGTGTGATTGCGGAAAGTTACAAGCCTTCTGTATGCCTTGCTCCCGTGTCATAGCGACATGTTCAAAGGATTGACATGACCCTTCCAACTTACTATCCGTCGTTTATAAATTCATAAACCTATACAATGTTGCAACAGTAGCTTTCCGATGGTAGCGAAAGAGGATTATTAGTCTGCATATCAAGGGGAGATAGTCTGACACAATGAAAACATGCGAAGAAAGAAAAGGGTCGCCCAAACAGCACGTGTTCAATGTTGGACCAAGCACAACAACATAATTTTATATGTAACAATTTTATTTGATTTTAAAAACAACGCTCATCTCATTAATATTAATACATTAGGTTACAGCAATTTAAACAACAACTAAACAAAAATTCAAACAACAATTAAACAACAAGACAGACAAATATAAGGACTAAACAACATAACCATGTGATTACAACCATCAGGACAATTTCCACAGAATTGTGCATCATAATGCGAACATCCCTATTAGTTTTAACATTGTTCTAAAGTGACTTTCTCCATTGTCGTTGTACACAGTAACAAGCCTTTAAATTCTTCTAATCTTTTCACCCTTTGTAATGTCTCTGTCTAACCAATTGATCAAGCTCCTAATGAGATGTTTGAACGTCTCTGTGTTCTAGAGTCTGATCTTCATCGGAGGCTTTACTGTCGAATAATTTAAATCTACATTTCTCTTATGAATATAAAAACACATATATGAAGACATTTTGAAGAAAAATTGAAGAAAATACTTAAAAGATGTGTGAAAATGAGGGGATGGGATGCATTATTTATAAAATAAAGGAGTAGCTGCTGTCTGTGGCGCATGCTCTTATAGGATGCATGCAAGTGCCACTTGCAGTGGTATCACGTACATGCATGTGCCACTTGGGATGACACCTCTGTAGATTTTATAATGCATGCGCCACATTAAGTGGCTACTCCTTTTACGTAAAAAAAAATTGTTTGAAACATGGTTAGCTTGGTAATATTTTTGAAATATTGGTTATTTTGGTATATTATCTAAAAATATTTGTTATTTAAAAAAAAAACTTATTAATGTATATGGACTGGATACATTAACCGTCAAATGTACAAAAAAAAAATCAAATTTATTTGTAATAGTGACTGGAGGGTGTAAATTCTTAAGTATGCATTAAATTATTTATTTAAAATTTTAATTTATTTAAAAATAATTATTATAAAAAGTGACATGTCACTCTATAAATGAATCACGGGTAGATATTCAACTGATCAAAATTTAGAGTTATTGGAGTGTTCACTTTATGTCTATCTAATATCTATCTATGAAAGCAATATGCTATTGATTTTCCTTAAGCACCCTTTTAAATTTGTTTCTATTGTTTATTAATCATTATTACTTTTGACTAAACACATTTAATTTAGTTAATTGTTGTCTTTCATTGAGTTACCTATCCTTACCATACTTATTCACCATCCAATAGTTATTACATTCATGTATTCTATGTAAATATTAGCTGCCACAATCCACTTTTCAATAAAATTTCAATTTCTCACTCTGCTCAATGCAGCTTTTGAGTTGAAAAGTCACATGGGGATATGGGAGGACTTTCCATGCATAATGGGAAAAGAGAAAGCCACATCCAACAAAAGGCACACGAGAGCAAGAGATCTTTCTTTAAAGAATTTCCTTCTTCTCCATCGTTATCTAAGCGGCTTCGTTATTCCTCTGCTACTTCTCTTATTTGTTTTTCAAGTCCTTCACTCTTTAACCTTCTTCGTAATTTCTTCCCTCATATGGACCAATAGGTACTTTTCATTTTTTTTTGCTTGTGTGAATTTTATTTGCATGTTGGAAGAAAGATTGGGTCTATGGTGGTTCCACTTGAGCTAATGTAGCAACTCAAGGCTTCGGATTTTACAGGTCACCAAGAGTGTGATGAATGGAAGAAAAAAAAAGGAGCCACAAGGTTCTAGAGGCTGGTTTACTTTTGCATCCTTACAATAAGTCTGCTTTTGAAGTTAAGATTAGAAAGCTCAAGAGGAAGTTGCAACATGGAGATGGATCTTCTTCAGTTGTAATCCCTTCAAACCCCAGGCTTAGTTTTTGTCTTTTGTTTAGGATTGCTTTGAAATTATATACTGAAGTTGCAATCCTTCCAATTATTTTAATGAAATGCAATTCAATTTTTTCTTAATATATTATTACTTATGATGTTTGCAATATGCTTATAGTTCCTTGGAAATAATCATTTGCATATGCATTTCACGTATCATTTGCATCATTTGGTCTTGCTTTCTGCTAGTCTTTTGGAGTCTCATTAGTTTCCTTCGTCTTCGTAGAAGACAAGCTGTCACACTGGTACAATACTCGGGCCAATTCAAGATGAAAGATGGAGACACTATGCCATATAGTACAAAAGACCACGCTTTTTTGGCCTTTAGCAGCGCTTAAAAGCGCTGCCTAAGGCGGCGCTGGTGTAGGTAAAGGCGGTGTTGCTGTAGGTAAAGGCAGCGGTTTTTTTAATGTAAAAGTGTTGCGTTAGGTCCCTTTAGGCAACAGTTTTGTTTAAAATCGCTCTCTAATATCACCTTTAGGCAGCGTTTTTTCAAGAAAAGCGCTTTCTTTTGTTCCCCTTTAGGAAGCGTTTTTAAAAGCGTTGTCTAATGTATCTTTTCTTTCTATTTTCTTTTGTCCCCCTTTAGGCAACGCTTTTAAAAGTGTTGTCTAATGTATCTTTTCTTTCTATTTTAGGAAGTGCTTTCTTTTATCCATTTTAGGTAGCGCTTTTTTTTTACAAAGCGCTTTCTTTTCTCCACGTAAATAGGGCTTTTTAAAAGCACTTTTTTAAAAAGCACTTTTTTAGGAAGCATTTTTTTGTTACAAGCGCGGTCTATTGTGCACTTTTTTAGGAAGCGTTTTTTGTTAAAAGCGTTGGCATAAGTCTTATTTTTTAATTATAAAATGGCAGCACAAACCATTATAATTTAAATTTTTATCAAAACTTATCACAAACCTTTATAATTCAACACAAACTTTTATTTCAACACATAAGCCTTATATACCATTATAATTCAATATATATAT